TTGTTGTTGTTGTCATAGATTGCATGGTGGTTATCTCTGTCACCTGGAATAAAAACGTTGAATCTTGGCTTGAAATATTTTGAGAGGAGTTTTCATTTTTTATTTGAGTGTTAGTGCATGTATGGATTTTCAGTTTTCTCCCACCAAACAAAAACATTCTTCTTTGCTTGAATGTGGATGGGGTTGAGGCAAATGGGGGGTGAAATAGCCCTTAAGTGTGAGCATTTATGTTAGTTGGACTGGTGACATGTTCAGGGTGAAGGCTATATCCCTGTGACTCTGAAAAATAATAAACTGTTATAGGAAATCAATGTATTACTTTTTTATTAACTGTGGCAGGGGCGTCTTCAAATTGTTCCCAACAATTGGTGAAGTTTATTATTCACACTCTAATGACACTGACACCAGCTGGGAATCCATAAAAAGCAATAAAACAGTGTCCTGGTGTCTGCACCCAAATAATCAGCGGTGTAGTGTAATTGACACGCTGGTATACGTCATATAAATACTTAAAAAATATATTGGATTTGTGTATAACCACTTAAAATAAGCAGAGATCTGCATCAGTCTGTAGCTTATGTCAGCACATATTCTCAACAAGACAGGTGGCGTGGCAGTTTACATAAACAATGGAAATAATGTGAAATGCACATGGACGGGATGGTCAGATCACGGGGGTGTGCACTCTTGTGTCCAATTTAATGCGTCAACTTTTTTAAGTATAAAACTAACGGAAATGTGCTGCATACATAGTAAATAAATGAAGCGCAAACAGATCACTATCTTGAACTTTATGAAAAAGCCAAATAATCAAAATGAGGTGTCTGAAATGACTTTGAGTGAACAGACTGAAGCAACTTCAGACTGGCTGGAAATAGGGTGGTGGTAAGTAGGGCTGAACGATGAATCGCATTAGCGATAATATTGCGATATGCTAAAACAAGATTTTCTAACCGCACAGGCTGTAATTTGACTGGTCACGTGACTTGGGAGTTGGGCGAGCGAAGCAGAATTGCTAACTTAGCGACATAGCGACATGTAGACCTAGTGGCTTTTCAGACCTTTCTAGTGC